GAACATTCTATTAATTTAGATTAAAAATATTTCACACACATTTTATGATATACACAACGAAAATATTTCAAAAACAATGGGGTTTCTTGAAATCATTTGTAAAGAAATAAAATGGTTTATTTATTTAAATACATTACCTGAATTACACCGATATAGTTGGTTAGGGGTAATCAAGAAGCAAATCCAGAGATACAGAAACACGCCTCACAAAAAGATGAAGCAAACATACAACTAATGAATTTAAAATAAATATTTATGTCAAAACTCCTTGTAAATACAGCTAATTCAAAGAACATTTAAGCCAAATATCTTTCAATATTTTCATTTCAACCTAAGCTACAAATATTGAAAAAAGCGTAATACAAATTAAATGACATTGTCCACTTAGTACCATCCCAAGTGAAAATAAATACATTCTGATCAATAAATTCCTGATAAATCAAAAACCTCATGAAAATCCTTATGTCCAAAAATACAAATCAAACCAACTACAGGTCAAAAAGTGTTTTAAGCTGGAGGCAACCCAACACAAAAAATTAAACTCTCGTGTAATCATAAATAATAATTAACACAATTTTTATATAATTAAAATAATAAGAATTATGAAAAATATTATGTAGAAAACCCAAAAAAGTAAACTGAATATATGTGAATGTATGATACTAACATATGATAACAGTGTCGAACTGTAATGCAATTGCACGCATGTTTGAAAATATAAAGCTAGGACGAGCCGCATTAATCAGTGCATAGTCAGATTGTTTCCTTTTGCAAAACTGAAAGGAACTTCGAGTGGATGCAGAGCTGAACCGTATAAGGTGGCATTGCTTATGCCTTATCTCCATGTGTTGTAAACTGGCTCTGCTAATACAAACTTATTAGATTTCTTTTACAGCGCGAGTGACAGATTTTTATGAAAACTACATTTCTCAAATAAGATTTTTTAAGAAATTGAATATCTGATTTTTCTGAAAGCGTTCTACAGTTAATAAAGAAAGTAAAGAACAATAAGTCAACACAATAAAATATAAACCATAATCTACGGTGTTAACATTGGTAAAGCACATGTAAATATCATAAAAACTCACATTCATTTGTTTCTCCACTGTAGTAAGACAAAATAAAGGGAATTGACAATCGAAATCAGTTTACGAAGCCTACCTGGGATTGCAGTATTTTTCAAATTAAATTTCCATGACCAACGTTCTAATCCCAACCTCACTCGAGCTTCCGAATTGCGCACAACGCAATTGAATTGCAGCCGAATTGCATTGCCACATGTTCCAATAGCACACACTGCGCCAGTAATTCCATAGCTACTCGGCTGGTTTTTAATGTTTTCCTCCTTATGAGAACGTCCTAACCGAGAAATCGTTTCGCAACCTATTCTTTGTCCAAAAGTAATGATGAACAAACAAAAACGTAATTTCTAACTTGCTCCAGTTGCTTAAGGTTATGTGGCAATTCTAGTGTTTCAGGAAATGATGTACGTATTTGGCATTTTTGGATCGATAATCAGACTTTGTCGGCAGGCTGACGCTGACCCCTATTCCTGGAACATGGTAAACATGACGTAGGAGTATTCCTTTCCTTCACCGCTACTAGTAAGATCCGCCTGCTCCAGCATTTCTTCATCACTAAGTTACAGATACTGGGGAGATTTTAAAGGAAAGCTACAACTATATTTAGGCCATGACCTGGAATCCACGTTTGGACCACACCATGAGAGGATAGGACGCTGCTTACGAGCCAACCTACAGGCACACAGAAAATTGTTATATATATTATTGATAAAATAAATTTGACTCAAGTCATTACAAAATAACTCCCTTGTCAGAAAAGTGCTAAAAGTAACCAACATTATTAGTTGGGCGCTTTCATATCGTCATACAAACCCCAAAAAAGTTTAAAACTAACAGCAAGCAATATAAAAACTATTCAAATTTTTTAAAAGCCGCAATCATTAATATCAGTCTTTTTAAAACTACGAATATCACATCAATACTACATTGAATGTCTGCCATTGCACTTGATTATCATAATAGTGGTAATATTATTCCGAAAAATGTGACTTTCAACGTGATTTGGCATTCGCTGATCAGCAGCAGAAAGCTGCGCATACTATAAGCGTGGAGGAGGCGCTTCTCTCCCCTCTTCCTTCCGTTTGATTGATTGATTGATGATAACGGGTGAGTCAACTAGTAAGGACATTAGGCCTGTAAGTGTAATGTAGGTGGCGGTGATCTTCCCCTGTTAGATGGTGAGATCCGGCGATGATCTTCCGTTCCGAACGCGGTTTCCCCAATCAGGTATCTCCCACCTCAGTTGGGACAAGCTGTAAGCTCCCAACAGGTCTCCCGGCGTGAGAGGAAGTGTAGTGCATGTAAGTGTGTGTGCAAGTAAGGAGTGAGCAAATGATAAGGAAGAGGAAGGAAATATCGCGTTCGGTCCATGGCCGGTTTACTACCGATCTAGCGCTCGTCTGATGTTGAACGAAGAAACCACGCAAAACTACCGATTAGAGCAGTTGGCATCTTGAATTCTTCTCCAGAGAGTGACTGAATTTGACTTATCTATCGAAAGTCGTGACTCGATTTCTGTAGTGTCGAAAATCCTGTCACCGTCGTGACTTGATTTCTAAGCCCTCCGGGTCGGATGCACTGGGGTGACATCAAGTGTCATGTTTTGGTATGTAATTAGGACAATGCCGTTTTATGTAGACATTTATGTTTTATGTTATGGTAAAAGGATGTGACCCATTTTATAGTCTTTTTTTCATTTTTCGTCGATTACAACTATCGAGTAATTTTTTTTACATTTTTCCGTCTTTTTCATTGCATTTTTTGCTGATTTCATTGATATGAATATCATTTTAATGTTACTTGCTTCAAATATTTACGAGATGCAGGAAATGTTTTCTACGGAATTCCTGCGTGATCTATTCAATTTCTTCGCTCAGAAATTATAATGCCAGCCGTTGTGAGTACGTAATTTAAGGTTCCTGTGACGCCGTTTCAGCGCCTTTGTCGATTCGGCCAATTTAGGAAGAACTAAAGAAAGTAATTTCCTGGTGAAGAACCGTCCAAACTAAACGTTTGCAAGCAGAGTTGACTTTAAAGAAAGGAAAAAGACCCGATCACATCAGTAACATAATTATGTTATTTGATGTATGATGGAAATCCAAGAGCTTGATATGTTCATGCGAACTGGTGTTGATAATATTTTTACGTCATATTTCTTTGTATTTACAGAATTTTAAATACCTTTGAAGTGCATTTTATTGGTAATTTTAGGCGATGTTCTAGAGCATCAAAATTCGCCCTCAGTCATGATCTCCGAGCGCTTCGGTGGCGCTCTCGAACTGTGTTTACGCTCTGCAGTACAGGCGCGAATCGAATGAGGCAACGCGCCTGTGTTTGCTGCAGTATCTAGTGCGGAGAGTTGCACCAGTCTAATACGACGGCGCAAGTAAACATCGAGGAGTTTTTATTTACAGTACATAGACGAGAGAGATCCTGGTTATATTTTAAGATGCTGTGTATACGGAAGAGGAAATTTAGGACGGGAGTACATTCAGAGGAAGTTGGTGGATCTTCCCGCCAATGATTAACATTGAGAGACGTAAAGAAACAATATGAAGCAGAATGGACCGTTTTATCTTAAAATTATGAAATATAAGTTATTTAATTTTTTGCGTGAATACAAACACCGGAGTGTTAAAAATTATTTCACCCTCAATTTTTTTAACTGTTAGGAAACCGTTTCTTGAAGTTTAGTAATGGTCGTTCAAGTATTAGGATACACTATACAATATTAAATGTTATTTTTGTGGACTGAAGAAATTTTCATAAACTTTTAATAAAAAAAATTAGAAGTCATCTATATTTTTATTTTGAAATCACGAATGTAATTATTATTGTCTGAAATAATTGAAACCAAGTATTATGCAGGAAAGTTTGAAATAATGTCGCCCAGTTCACCACATTTGCCGCTTTCCTAGGAACATCTTTTGCCATGAGGTTTTTCGTTC